TATGTAAAACGAAAGAAGACGTGCTCACTAAACAGTCGAGTACTAACAGTAGAGTAGTAAAGTAACAGTCGAACAGTAGAGTCATACATGTCATCTCTCATGGTGAATAAAACAGTTAAGTTGTATTGTACTTTGTATTTGAAACCTAACCTACTAGCAAAGTTGCTAACAAACGACAAGAGAAACACATACAGTCCACTAACATTAAAACCAGCAAAACACAGGGTGTGCCATTTAACACTCCCGCTGCCAATATTTCCAAAATGAAGAAAATTTTAATTCCGGAAACTGGGGTTTTTAGGTCCTTCCAATAGCTTCAAATTGTAGTTAGAACTGTTAGTTCAAATCTTTGTGTAGATGGCGTGGCGATACTAAAATAATTTTTGATTCTTGGAACGTGGAAATGCACTCCATCTGAAAGATCGTTAAATTTTGAGTAATTTTTGTAATATAAAGTTTTTCCCAATATTTACTTGTTTTCGAAACATGTCGACTTCAATATGCAATGTATAATGTAACAGGAAAATCTATTATTTTATCTAAATCACACCGAGACAAAATATTCTTTTCAAATATTGTTACAGTTACATTCACACACATATAACTAACAAATAATAAATTAAAAAAAAACAAATGATCAACTCCAGAAAAAAATTGTATAGTATTTTCGAAGTCAGTTGAACATGTAAAAAACCGCCTGGCAATAAAATTTAATGATGTGACTTTCTTGGAATTAATTGCACACCGAGGTAGAAAGAGACTGGTGGCGTGGTGTTCACCGTAGCAGCTTGCAGTGCACATTGTATTTTGCAGTTACAATGGTGTTTTTCTTTGGTTCTTTTCTTGGAATTCTACCTTGACAAATATTGTATGGACTGTACTTTTAACTATATTTCTCAGATGCGTAATTTTTTCTGAAGATTATTTGATTATTTCCCGCAAATTTTGTAATTTTACATTTTATGTTTTTGTTTACGAAACGTACCTGCGTATTTCTGTATTTTCATTTTTTAGTTCCATTTCTTAAGAAGTCGATGGATTTTGGAGTTATTTTCTCAGAATTGCAAAGTAGTTATATCAAAAATGAACTTTTTTAAATATACATATACATTATATATTAATCTATTTACCTATAAAGAATTTAAAGAACACTTTAGGTATGGAAGTATATTTTTTTCTTTCTAGATGAATATTTCTAGATGAATAAATTTATTTACTTTTTTCTTTTTAGTGTGAATAGAAATATTCACATTTGACATTCCTGTAAAATACATACAAACAATCATATTTGGATCTTTAAATTGGAACTGGATATAAAAGTACATATTTCATTTCCAAGAGAAAATTATTTCATTTTTTTCTTGTGGTACAAAAAAAAATAAATCACTCAAACATATATTATAGAACATCTATTTTTGACAAATTATCAGATTGCTCTTGGACAAATCCAACTTCTGTAGCCATAGAATGTACAATTTTTAAAATAATTAACAATATTCTGTTAAGTAAATAATATAAAATCTATCCGGCACACGTAGTTTGCATAAACACAAATGAGTAAGAGTAAGACAGACTACAGAACACGACTCTACACAACTCGTTTAATTTGGACCGATACCAGATCGTAACGTAAAAGTCAGCCGTCTTTGTTTAAGACTGCGTTTTAGTGCATAGAGAATTATTTTGAATTTATATATTTTTTTATAGGAAAACTATTAATTAAAAATTTAAAATTTATGTGGCAATTGACCTTTTATGATGAAAGGAAATTAATAAGAAAAGAAAAAAAAATGTGAAACTTCCCCATTAATGTAATAAATTTAAAGTGGACATTTTCAACAAATTAGAGATGGCTGCATGTATTAGCGATATATTATTATTTGCGGTTGCAACCCTGTAAAATCATTATGCGTGATCAAAATAGATATCGAAATAGTTGATATTAAAATGTTTTATGTTGCTCCTAAACATTTTTTACTAATTGATCTCAAGCCAGAGTGTGCAATAGTACAGCAGTATTTTAACGGGCAATAAAAATGACTGGGATCGTTGATTTATATGAAATGTGCAATTGAATATCTGGACGATATTTAGATAGTATCTAAAAATGAACTAGAGTGAACTGATTGACTAGAAGAAGTTTTGATTTGTTTCGAATGGAAGCTGTACTGAATACCAGTAGTAATTGCGTCTATCAGAAACTATAACAGATGATTAATAGATGCTAAAATACGCAGGCTTCATTGGAAAATTACCACTATTGTGGAGTTTCATTTTTCAAAGATAAGCGACGTTTCAAAAGTTGTTGTCGCTGGTGGTCAAGTGGTCGCATAAAATTGTTTAGACTACAAGTTGTTGAAGTGTAATTGCTCTATTAATTTTAATTTTAATCGATTATTTTATTATGTTCACAGGCTGTAGTTGACTTTGTACTATCCAGGCGCTCTGGAAGAGGCATTTGGATCCTTTTGTTTTGAATCAGTGGCAGTTGCTGATACAGACCCCTATCTGTATGTTCCAGTGAGGCTAGGTTGGAAACTTCGCTCAACCTAAGAGGGTCCTGTGTACCTTGGAATGGTCCTATTTGCTGTTCACGTAACCTTGTGCGTTACCAATCAATGATAGCCCGGTGAGCCATTAGATAGTCTTGTGTATCCCAGGTAATCTTGTGCATTACCCAACGTCGATGGTCCTGTGAGTCATCGGATAGTCTTGTGTACTATCCCAGGTAATCTTGTGCATTACCCAACGTCGATGGTCCCGTGAGCCATCGGATAGTCTTGTGCACTATCTCAGGTAATCTTGTGCATTACCCAACGTCGATGGCCCTGTGAACTATCAGATAGTCTCGTGTACTATCTCAGGTAATCTTGTGCATTACCCAACGTCGATGGCCCTGTGAGCCATCAGATAGTCTTGTGTACTATCTCAGGTAATCTTGTACATTACCCAACGTCGATGGCCATGTGAGCCATTAGATAGTCCTGTGTACTATCTCAGGTAATCTTCTCCATTGTCCAACGTCGGTGGTCTTGTGAGCCACTAGGTAATCCTGTGTACTACTTCAGGATGAGTCGACTTCCCAATGGCTTGAGTTTGCGCCATTTCATCCGACAGGCCACGGGGACGCGACCACATCAGGATGGCCGAATGTTAGAATCACATTAAAAATTGTTTACTTCTCACTTGACATGTTAATATAGACTGATTTGTAACCAAAGGTTCCTAATGAATGGCAGGGCAAGGGGGCCACAATTTGGGTGAGAAGTGTTGAAAGAGTACTGGATAAGGGTTTTAAGAGACAGATGGGCTTTGAGCTGCGTAGTGCGCAGTTGAATGTTATATTTTGTTCCGAGTTGTATTATTATTGTTGGTGATTAAAAACTGTATTGTATTTAATTGACTTGGTTTTATTTGTTTGTATCATTGACTCTTAACACTATATTGGTCCACTAGGACCATTTTTTGCATGGTATTCTATAATTAGTTTGTTGTCGAACGCTATTCACTTCGCTTTGGCAGTGCCGTGGAGAGCAGTGCTTGGCGTGGTATATTTATTGTTCGTATAATACATATTATTATTAGTTAATATTATTATTTATTTGTTCATATCGTAACCAGTAAAGGGTAATAGTTATTAAAATAAATATTATATATAATTATCTAGTAATTCAACATGGTTTCTGGAGACCCTTTGAAACGGAAGATAACGAAATAACCCCTGGAAAATCCCCAAATAGTAGAGCCGTTTTTTTTCGAAAGCGTCGAAACAAACTCAGTTTAAAAACAAAGATTTACACCTACAAAGTCAACGTATTATTTTAAATATATATGACCTTCTCGTTGGTCCTTGCTGAGAAATAATGTATTTCATTATAAAATAGGTTAACTTAAAACTAAAACCAAAAATTTAAGTTCTTTTAGTACTTCAATCTAACATTGGTAAAATAAATATTTCAAATATGTTATTGGCTAAATAAACAAATAATAGGTAACAAATCTAATTTTTTTCTACTTAAATACTGTCTCATTAATATTATTAGAAATGTTAGGTATGACACTTATTTAATAAGAAATCAAAAAATCTATCCCAAGAATTTACAAATAGCAAAATTTACAAATTTTTCTCAACGCCTATAGATTCCGTCCAATTTATGAGTTAATTGTTTTTATGCGGTTCCAACTGATATCGAAACTGTTGGAAACCCCGTATATTTTTATTATTACAAAAACTAATATTGTAACGAAGTGATTTTCCGACACCCCACATTTGTGTTCTTTTTTTATTTAATTTTATTAATAAATATAGTTTACCGCACCGGTATTATTTTTGGCATTTCAAACGCCGTCCGTCACCGCGTAGCGCCAAGCCGATGGCAGGCAAATTCACACCGCATATGTTAGTCGCACCAGTGCTTAGAAATAAGTCGCCGTCAGATTCAGTTCCTCACGAGCCGCCGTAGCAACCAGTCCAGCCTGAGAACAACTCCAGCAAGTCGAGACGTCACCGCAGGAAGTAGGTAAAATTTTACAAGTCCAGCCTAGAAGAAATGCGCAGCCGCCAGGATTCGCCGTACGAATACAGCAGACAGGCTGCATTCGAAGAGTTAGTCTACCAGGAACCGTCGTAGCATCCAGTCGAGCCTCCAGCCGCCCTGCCCAAAGATACGTCACCGCTGGAAGTAGGTGAGAATTCTGCAAGTCCAGTTTAGACGAACTTCACAGCCGCCAATCCGAGACGAGGGACTTAGGAAATTTGAGAAGTGTCAGTTCATCTCCAGCTGCCGCCAACACCAGTCCAGTCCGAAGACCGCTGAAGTAAGTTAGGTTCCGCGCATATTCAATGTGCAAGTCTCTTGAGGTGACAAGAGACCTGACAGGGTAATTAAACTGCAAAGTTAGTCCTGTTCCAGCATTCCGACCGACCAGACTTGCCCAGGAAGAGAAGTGAGTAAAGGTTTAGGGAACCTAGGTAAAGACTTGGCTGCTGTCCGCTTGTACTAATCATATCTTGTCTTTTCAGTTATCCGCCGTACCACGACAAGGAAAGGTGCACTGTTGTCTCCGTCCGGTGCAATAGACCTAAACTGCGCGTTCGGCTTACAGGATGTTGTCTCCCCCTTTTTCTGTCCTATGAGTTGAAACGCAGGTCGTACCAAACCGCAGGAACATGACAAGGAAGGGTGCACTGTTGTCACTGTCCGGTGCATTCGACCTAACTGCGCGCTCTGCTGATAGAATGTTGTGTCCCATTTCCTTTCTGTTCTATGAGTGGAGACACAGGTCATAGTTAATCTTATTTCTCTTTCAGGTACGACGTGGTTGGGTGTACTGTTGCTGGTGCTGTTGTCTCTTTCCGGTACACTTAACCTAACTGCGCGTTCGGCTGATAGGATGTTGTCATCCTTTCCTCCTTTTCTGTCCTATGAGTTGAAACGCAGGTCGTAATTAATCAACCTTTCTTTCAGAGTTTCTGCCAGCCGCCTGCCAGGATTGAGGAGCCCCGCTGTTACTGTTTTATTGCTTTTGTGTAAAGATAATAGCCAAGTCTAGTCCATAGTTATTGTTTGTAGCTTTGCTTTGCTAATCGCTTCTTCTTTCTGGTATCTGTACTACCGCTTACCGCATTAACCGTTCCGCTAGCTCTGCTGTGCTTTGCTTTCGTCAGGTCACCGTTTAACACCGCACTGTTATTTTACCGTTCTCCGTAGTCACCCTGTATATAACCGTAACCGTTTGACACCGTTTAGTGATAGATTTAGAGTAGAATAGTGTACATAAGTAGAATTGGACTATAAATAAATGTAAATATATACTAATTTGTGGCCTTTGATTCCTGTGTGAAGTCTAACTCTCTCTAGACCCTCTGGACATACCGTGTCTTCACTGCAGCCGCCCGCGTAGTGGTGTTTCTGCACTTTAAACAGGAACTGGCGCCCTAGGTAACCGCCACCGCTCAGGCGTCATAGTGACGAACGACGTAAATACGACTTCACAATATATTTTTGTATTCAAAATATCCTAAGTGACTAGGTATAAACACGGATAAGAATTGTTTATATTATCGGTTTCACACTTGAGTGGGGAACGTCCTAACATGCTGACAGGTTAAAATTCCTTTTTCTAACTGGGATTCATATAGTTAGTTGGTTATAGACCTTCCTTTGTATAAGACAGTGCCATACAAAAGTGATTATTAAATAAATATTAACAGAAAAATAATTAGAGTTTTATTAAAAAGTCCCACTTCCTAACAGAAACGACTATACTAGGATTGCATTGCTTTTTAAAAACAATCACAAATCCTCTGGTTTTAAAAATATTTAGGATTTAAAAAGTTGGACAGTGGATTAATAATGATCAAACTTTAAAATTTTTCTTTCGAGTAGAAAAAGAATAGAAAAAAATTATTTAATAACTTCTAATATTTTTCAGGTAAGTTCTGAATCATCACATACAAGGTGTTTTAGCTCGGGTGAATTAAAATTTGGTGTAGTGTTAACATTTGCATGTGTACATAATTTACTGTAAAATATACAAATTTTTGTAGGTCAGTAGCGTAGGAATAGGTAGTAAAGAGGGAATTTTTTTCCTACAACTTCAACGCCAATGACATAATAATTATTTGGGATTCATTTTTAGATACATATTTGTTTAAAGATAATAATAATAACTGCTCTCGTAGCTCATTTATTTGTAAAATTAACAACAATAATAAACAAAATAAAAAAACAACAAAGTGAAATTGAAATGGAGCCGAAAGTTATAGGATGTTCTGCTTAAAATAAAAAGTTTTGACGATTTGAAATTGTATGTTTAAAATTTTTTCAAGTCATCGGTCCCATGTCGTGTTAAAAGTGAAATGTGAATCAGCCATATATAAAAAGTTATGAAAATCCTTGAACACCCAGTGTTTTTTTTTCCATTGTTCCATTTAAAAATATATGTTTACTCCGAAATTTCACATTTAACAACCCATATAATCAAAAACGTTTTGTATTAGCCTTTTTGTCTTTACAGACAAATTTGAAAAGTATATAACAACTGACTTACCTCTTGGTGACTTAATTTTATAGATTCCTCACAGTCTCCCCCATGTATTAGTTCTTTTTCTTTATCCAAATCCTGAAATAGAAAAAATTACTGAGTTTTTAATACATCAAATTTATTTATTTTTATTTATTTTATTTATTGCCCTATAGATGTAAATCCGATTACATCACATTGTAGAATAACATGTTAATGCCGATCCTTTTAAATTTTTACATATAATATACAGTGTCACTTTAAGTGGGGTTAGTTTGTCATGGGTAATAATACATGTTCCCCAGAATACTGAAATTATTACTGCATTTAATCAAGTAAATAGTCGAGTTATAGTTCATTTTTAACTGCACTTACATACTTTCGAAATAAATGAAATAGACCCATGAGTTTGGAAACCGAAGAAAAGCATCTTCGACACAATTGGGTCAAACAGAATATTATGTATACATAAATAACATTACGGATAACATAAATTTGCCACTTATGCTCAACGACAATTTTAAAAACATGTTTTCTGGGGATTATTCAAGAATATTTTTTTGCGGTAACACTTAACACAACCAACAGTCTCAAAATAAGATTACAAATTTTCTAATATTTCCGAAGAGTTTGATCAAATACCCAATAATAATGAAAAAAGCCAGAAAATGATTCTACAAATAAAATATTTGAGCCGCCGCCGCTCGCTGAACGTCTTCCACTTGTCGCCGCCATGCCGCGCACCCCCCCATTGGGAACAACCGGATAACTAATAAATGCAAGGTATATAAAACAGTACAACCTTTATAACTATATTATTGTAACCATTTTTTTCAGATTGTTGTTTACAGTTATTTACTACCTGTATCAGTTTTCTTTTATTAAAGAACGCAATATTTACGGAGATGGCAGTCCCTGCTGTTTTGCTTAAAATTTAAAAAAAGAAGACCTTTTTGAGGTAAATGACCTTCACAGTCTTAAAGATAATAGTTCGACTTATCCTCGGTAAAAATTTGGAATTTTTTTATCAATTCACAAAAAAATTACGAGTTAAATTGAGAGGTATTAATTTTGTAGGCAGAAAACCGTGATTTTTTCAACATTTTCATTAGTAACTGAGAAATGGGATAACAAAACTGAAATTTTAGCACACAATAGAGTAATAGTGAGGTTATACAGAGTGTCTCATAATTAGTGTCCAATAATTTACCACTTTCTATTGCCTAAAATAAGAATATTTTTTCATATAAACATTGGTCAAGAAATGCTTCCTAAGGGAGCTACGTCCCCCTAAATGGGGCCTAAAAAAATTTATTTTTTTTTAAATATTTCTGAAATGGGTTGAAGGAAAATTATGAATTTTGACACCATGAACACTCATTAAAAGTCGAAATAGATCATAATTTTTTTTTTCTGATCAGGGGTGTCTCAATTGGGGGGGTCGTCAGCAAAAAACCCCATTTTTTTGCCCGTTTTTGCATAGTGTGTAGCAAGAACGGGGAAGGTCGTCCAGAGGTCTCCGTGGGCTTAAATTGATCGTCATGAAAAATCTAGGTGAGCAGAATTCGATTTTTCCAATATTTGTCCGACTTACCCCTACTTAAGGGGTGGAAACCACCCCTAAAACAAGAAACGTGAGAAAATGGTCGATCAATTCTTGGTAAAAATTGGCGGGAATTTGAATGGCAAGGAAGAGATCAGGGATGTTCTTCCAAATATGCTCAAGGTGAAAAACATCCCCCGCGTGGGGGTAAAACCACCCCTATTGCCAAAAACCGGCAGCAAATGATGTTCCCTTCATGAATTGCCTTTTTTGTGCCACTCTTCCTTATAAATCCAAATGATATGAAATACATGCCCCCATAATTCGTTCTTCTGTTGGATTCTGATCAGTTACCCCTACTGAAGGGGTGGAAACCACCCCTAAAACAAGAAAACAGAAAAAATGGTCACCAAAATCTAGGTAAAAATTGGCGGAATTCCACATGGCAAGGGTAACATCAAGAATGCCCTCCTAAAAATGCTCAAGGTGAAAAACACCCCCCGCGTGGGGATAAAACCACCCCTATTGCCGATAGCAGACGGGGAATGATATTAAAAAAAAAACATAAAAACACCACAGAAATGAGACAACCCCCAAATCCAAAAGCCAAAGGCTTGTGCGGAAGGGGGCTACACTTGAAAAAACGCGGACAAACACCCATTATCCATCGACATTCCCAGTGCCGACACCGGGGACCGAACCCGGACCAGAGTAGGAAGCCTAGCCGAGAAATGCTTGCCACCGCACTCTCGACCGACTGCGCTACCATGGCGATATCCACTTCATGAAGTACTTTGTTTCCCCCACTACCCGACAAATGATACGAAAGATGGGTCCCATAATTCGATCTTTTGTTTTACCCCCACGCGGGGGGTGGGTTTATCATGAGCATTTTTAGAAGGACATTCCTGATTTTACCCTTGCCATGTGAAATTCCCCCAATTTTACCAAGAATTTATCGACTATTTTCTCATATTTCTTGTTTTAGGGGTGGTTTCCACCCCTTAAGTAGGGATAAGTCGGGCAAATATTGGAAAAATCGAATTATGCTCACCTAGATTTTTCATGACGATCAATTTAAGCCCACGGAGACCTCTGTACAACCTTCCCCGTTCTTGCTACACACTACGCAAAAACGGGCGGATTTTGCGGTCACTCTTTGCCCCAATTTTTTTGCTTCTCGGAATTTTCAAATTCAGAGGCCAACATATGATAGACCTTCATTTCCTCTACAAAAAAGGTACTCTTTATTTCTTTCGATAAAATGCTCCATTTCCAAATGGTCCGGAAATATTAAAATTAATTAAAATAATATTAAAAGGAAATGAATTTTTTGAGGTCCCATTTAGGGGGGGGGGGCATAGCTCCCTTAGGCAGCATTTCTCGACCCATGTTTATATGAAAAAATATTATTTTAAGCAATAGAATCAAGTGGTAAATTATTGGACACTAATTATGAGACACCCTATATATGGTCCAAATTTCAAATTTTATAGCTCCTTGATTTTGTTAAATCAGTTTCCAAACTCAGGGGTCTATTTCATTTATTTCGATAGTAAATAATTGTATCAACGAACTTCTCGGTGTTGCCAGTTAGTTTTTTAAACCAACTGTGTAAAACTTGCGGAATGGCAGAGCAAAATGAATAAAACCATTACTGTTATACAGTTTTAAATAACATACGGTATGTTTCCACACTTCTTTTTTGTAGCCACTTCATCAGCTAAATCGGTGCTAGACATCTTAAACTGAACCAAAACAACATAAAACAGCAACAAAATGAAATTGCAAATGATACAAAATAATAACTATTATATAATGTGAAGTATGGTTCTGTATGAAAACATGTATTTGGCGAGGATCCATTTCGACTAATAGTTTCGCAGCTATGTGCTTGATTATTGTTTATATGATTGAAATATGTAAGATGACTTTACATCTGACATGTAAGACAACAGGGTGGTAGACGGGCAAAAAACAAAGCAGACATTAATTTGGGGAAACAGGTATGGCCAATTATGGCAATGCTTATTTTATTACATTTATTTTAGTTGTCATTTTAACAGTTTACGAGGTGTTTATAATACAGCAGGTACGTAATTTTGGAACTTTCTACATGAAGTATTAGTTTTTAATGCAATTTAAATATAATTTGTATAGTGCAGTGTTGTAGTGTTGTGTTTTATTATTCATGGGATAACGTGAGACACTTCATGGTGCAACTTATTGAAAGACGCATGTTTGGAAATGAAGGAAATTTTTAGCATACGATGTAAAAATCACGTGAGTATACTTATTTTTATTTAGTTGATTTATTTACTACTGTTCGAGTATTATGTTAAATAATTTGTTAGTTTTACAGTTTATTTTACATGAAAGATGAAATTTTTGAGTAATAAGGCTCCTTGATGAACACAAAGAGCAATATCTCATGGATGGTGTGAAAATTTGTTTTCCAATAAAATTTCTCTCCTTTCTCTCAAATTATGTGATTTGATAACAATGCACGCCACAATTTCTTAAAGGTCAAAGGTAGTTTCTGTATAAAGATTACTCTGATCAAAATTACACCCTGTATGTTTTTATTTTATTTCTGTTTTTTTTTCTTCGTTGAACAACCTATCATCACTTTCATCATTAGAAAAAACTATAAATCATTACTGAAATAATCATTAAAATGATTTTATAGCATATGCTCAATCTTTGCAAATAAGAGGAGAGGGGGTAAAAAAAATGGACCGGCAAAATCCGTATTATTAAGCTTTGACCTATTCTTAACTCAAATCCATTGTAATGTAATGTAATTCGGTCCTTACATTTTGCATACCCACTTACCTCTAGTGCTCGGTCTACTAGGAAAAAACATAAGAGAGATTTTGTAAGTCCGAAATCAAACAAGTTTTGGATAATTAATTCATAATTTAAGTTGACAAAGGCATTATGAGGTCAGTGTATCATCAGCTTGGCCTTGATCGTCTAAGAAGTCAGTAGCAATATGGGTGAGATATAACGTACAAAGCGTATTATATTTTAAATGGTCACTGCTACTCAATGCCTAAGCTTCAATATGATCAAACTGGCAGAAAGTGGAGCGTATGTTAAAAGTTACTTACATCTATGTTATCAAATGATACAACACCTGTTGACCGTCTCTTAGGCCTTCTTCTTCTTTGTATAGCTGCTTGTGTAGCAAGTGTTGCTTGGGCATTCCTAACATCATTTTCTTTATCTTGTTCTGAAATTAATACACATGATAATCATTTATACATATCCGACAACTTAAAAATTAATTTTTATTTATTGCACTGTGGGAAGTTATACAGGATGTTCCTTAATGATATGCGAATATTTAAGGGTGTGATTCTACATGGAAAATTAATGATAGTTTGCTTTCAAACATTCAAAAATTGGTTAAAAAATGTTCTGTTGTTAAAATTTTAGAAAAAAAAAAGGAAATTAATATTTTCGAATCCGCATGACTTACTTCAAAATGTCACAAATGCAAGTGAGACATTCCAGACCAACTAGGTTTACTGCAGAATTGTATTCCTCAATACTAATTACATTAATTAATTACGGACAATACATGTTTTAGAAAAAATCATTGGCATATCATTTTTTTCTTTAAAAATAACAAGTCAGTGTAGTATGCATGCCACTGTTAGAGATAAAAATTATGTTGACATTGAAAAACATGCGCCTTTATGCTTTATCACTACAAACTAAATATCACTGAAATATCTCAAGCGATTTCGAAAATTTTAATTAATTTCCGTCTTTTCTTAAATTTTAACACCCCGCATTTTCGCAACAGAACATTTTTGGACCATAGTTTATAAAGCAAACTATCATTAATTTTCCATGTAGAATCACACCCTTAAATATTCGCATAGCATTATAATGTGTATAATATACACCTATGATTGTTTATGGTTTCTCATAATCAGTAATCTAGTAATATCTTTACTATACTAAAATTGAAATAAGCCCTTTACATTGCACATCAACGCCATCTTTTAGGCTTTAGCCAACATAACAATAAAAATTATAATAAACTGCAAACTAGCAAACTATAAGCCTGAATCAATTTTAATACAGGACTCTATTTAATAAAACAAAATTTGATCAAAGAATGAGAACTTTGAACTTCTAAGGTTTATAATTACTATTTTTCCATTTGAAACATTTTGAGTAAGTAATGCAAATAGGATTTTTCATACTTGAACAATAGAGAAACTTATCAGTTATCAAGTTTAGTTCCAGATATTTTCAAGGATGCTGCAAATGTTATTATAAAAAAAACTTTATATAACACAGGACCAGTACCACTGAATTCAATGAGAAAATAAATAATGCAATAACATTGAGGGTGTTACATTAGAAAAAATTAAAATACCACACATAAGAAATGGGACCCTGTTTAATTCAATATAATTTTAAAATGTCAACAAATTGATTTCGTTCAGCTTTTATTTGAAATATTTTTCTATATCATTAACATCATAAAAAGTCAGTTAATCTCACTTAATTGACCAGTCATCATTCTGAATTTAGTTGAGAACTCGGGTAAAAAAAAACAGTTAAATATACTACATACAAAAAAAATATTCATACCAACCTTTCTCCTCTAGTGATTTCGGCCTTCGTAATTGTATTGTAACTGTTGTATCTGCAGTTTCAATTGGCTCCGAGGATGNGGGTAAATTTAAATGGTAACAATGAATAAACAAAACATCAAGGATTTTATTTTTGTGCTTACTTTTGTTCTACACGTTTTACTTTTCAAGATTTCAGTACCTAAAAATGCCAGAAATTTCACCATTTCTCGGCCAGGGATATGGCCACCTTAAGGGTGTGATTCTACATGGAAAATTAATGATAGTTTGCTTTATAAAGTATGGTTCAAAAATGTTCCATTGCAAAAATAATAAATAATAATAAAAAAATTTTAGAGAAAAGAAAAAGGAAATTAATTAATATTTTCGAATCCGCATGACTTACTTCAAAATGTTACAAATGCAAGTGAGACATTCCAGGCCAACTAGGTTTACTGCAGAATTGTATTCCTCCATACTAATTATATTAATTAATTACGGACAATACATGTTTTTTATTTTTTTTACTCAAAAACGGATCATCGCAGGACAAAAACTCAAGAGAGCTCTTATCTTTCCAATGGAAAGTGGATTTTAAAAATAATTTTATTTGGGAAAAAATCATTGGCATACCATTTTTTTCTTTAAAAATATCAAGTCAGTGTAGTATGCATGCCACTCTTAGAGATAAAAATTATGTTGTTATTGAAAAACATGCGCCCTTTATGCTTTAAAAATTATAATAAACTGCGAACTAGCAAACTATAAGCCTGAATCAATTTTAATACAGGATTCTATTTAATAAAACAAAATTTGATCAAAGAATGAGAACTTTGAACTTCTAAGGTTTATAATTACTATTTTTCCATTTGAAACATTTTGAGTAAGTAATGCAAATAGGATTTTTTATACTTGACCAATAGAGAAACTTATCAGTTATCAAGTTTAGTTCCAGATATTTTCAAGGATGCTGCAAATGTCATTATAAAAAAAACTTTATATAACACAGGACCAGTACCACTGAATTCAACGAGAAAATAAATAATGCAATAACATTGAGGGTGTTACATTAGAAAAAATTAAAATACCACACATAAGAAATGGGACCCTGTTTAATTCAATATAATTTTAAAATGTCAACAAATTGATTTCGTTCAGCTTTTATTTGAAATATTTTTCTATATCATTAACATCATAAAAAGTCAGTTAATCTCACTTAATTGACCAGTCATCATTCTGAATTTAGTTGAGAACTCGGGTAAAAAAAAACAGTTAAATATACTACATACAAAAAAAATATTCATACCAACCTTTCTCCTCTAGTGATTTCGGCCTTCGTAATTGTATTGTAACTGTTGTATCTGCAGTTTCAATTGGCTCCGAGGATGGTCTTTGAACAGTATTTGAGGATGCATTGGCTCTGCGAATAAATGGAGGTGTTCTAGGACCTTCCTGTGGTTTTGTGGCATCTTCCAACTTAAACTAATCGCAGATAATTATTGTCAACTTTAATGTAATGTACAGGGTGTTTTCAAGAGGAGCACAAATGGCACCAGCTATAGCTAAAAGGAACATATTTTGCATAAAGGTTACATTAGTAAAAATGTTCACCTCTTACAGATACAGACACTCAGTTTCCAATATACAGGGTGTAAATAAATAAATGCAAAACGATTCAGAGGGTGATTCCTTGTCGAAAAATAAGATGAATCTTTCATAAAAAAAATCTCATTTGAACATCCCCTGTGAAGATACAACCGCTTAAAGAGGGTGCCAAAAAAGTAGTCTCTAATTTTTTTCTGAAATATCAAAAAGAGTGACAGAAATAAAATTAAGTAGACATTTTCAGCTATCGAGAAGGCACTCAGTAAACAATTTGTTGATTTTCCCCTACGGCTGTAATGGGTAGAAATAGCCACCTGAAAGACTTGTTTCATACGTAACTTTTTTTCTTATTACTGCCGTACCATTTAAAAATTCATTTCAGATAGCCTGATTTCATTCTATACAAAGAGGTCTCTTTGTAATTTTTGTAAAATTAACGGTTTCTGGGCAAACAAATTATATAATAGTATATTACGTAATAAGTGTTGTAAAAAGTATTTTACGCACGAATGGAAAAGTTACGCAAGACGCCGCATAGCGGCGAGTGCGTGATTCTATGAGTGCGTAATTGCATTACACCACGTATTACGTACTATACTTTACCTACGACCACTACTGTAAATACTTAAAAACACACCGTATCGCAGAAGGTGTGTTTTTAAGGATTTACAATAGTGGTCGTAGGTAAAATCAATTACACGGCATGATTGGCATAGGGTAGGAATTTTATCGAACTGTAATTTATACAGGGTGATTCACAACTTATCCAAAAAAATTTGGGAATAGATGCGGCATGAGAAATGGAGTTAATAACATAAAAAAATTTGTTGTAAAATCCTTATAGTTTCCGAGAAAAAAATTATTGAAGTTATAGTACATTCAACTACTACATAGCTGGACAACTGTAGTCTCTAGCGTCATTCGCAATACGCGTGGAGCGCCATGTGACTACTACTACTGAAATCCGTCGTTGCGGTAGTTTTTACCTGTTATCTGTGGTATTTACAAGTTTTTTAGTAGTTAGTGTCAAAAATGGTTTGCGTGTATAGCAACTTGATGGATATCGTTTTAATTTATGGTGAAGCAAGACAACATTTGTATTATGGTGAAGCATTTGTGTTATGGTGAGGCAAGACATCATTTGTGTTAGTTCGTAGAAAGTAAGACGGACCCAAATGTGTTTACACGTTAGTGGATAAAATTTTGAACAATTGTTGTTGTAACATCGGGTATGTCAAATGATTTTATTATTTAAAAACACAAATTAATTTTATTAATTAATAAAGGCAAAAGCAGTTGAATTTGATGATATAAAATAGGTGCTATAAAATTCTATTTACATATTTCTTTCTTTGCGAAAGTTTTTGTCCGTTTTTATCACACCGCTATGCCGGTCTCATTGTGCAAGGTCAGGTTTTACAGTGGACCAGTTTCCAGTGCCGTGCAGAAGTGTATTTTTAAATCAATTTCGAACTGCCCTTTTTGATTTTTTCTTTACAAAATTGTATTTGTAAGGGTCCTCTGTACATCCAGAATTTTTTTTTTGGATAAGTTCTGAATCACCCTGTATAGTAGGCTGCTGTCACGTTGACATTTTGTAATGGCATCTTAATTGTTATAATTAATTCAATAATTTTATTAAATGTGTGAAAAAAAATCAAATTTTTCAAGACATATTTTACTGATGCAGAAGTAACTTTTCAACCATTTTTTGAAAATGTCTGCTTCTTGGAAGATTAAAATAAATCCTCAATTTATTATTTGCAATAGCTTTTTTGTTTAGCAAGAATTTAGTATTCAAAAATACATATGATGATCTAGTCTATTTTAAAACTTTTAATTCTTTCAACTTTTTGTTTTAAAAGTAACCGTTTATTAACCAAAATTATTTTTGAATACTCAATTTTTGGTTTTCAAATTACGGCAGCTTTACCATAAGTATTTTTTATTTGTAAACTTTGAGGGGCTTTGTCTCTTAAAGGATGAACATTTTACCAAAGCCAATTTTATGCAAATCATGTTATTTTTACCTGTAGATTCATTGGTACAGAGCCTTCATAAATGCTTAAAAGCCATGTGACCGCAGTGCGTAGGCAACCCAACATTGCACGAGTGCTACTGGTAACAAAAATTTCCTATCTTAACATCACCAACATTAATGATTCGTTTAGAATGGACAATGACAAATCGTTACGTATACGCTCAAGATATGCGACCACTGATTGGTTGAACAGAATCTCATTAAAAATTACACTAATCACAGCCGGTGAAATGGAATGTTGTATTTTAAGGTAATCATGATCTCACTGTTTTAATAATTTTTAATTTTACCGAAATTTAATTTCCAACATGAAGGAAATAAAATTTCTTTTCCACTGTTATTTATGAAGGTTCTGTACTATTTGCACTATTCCTTTTAAAAACGCCCTGTATAATAACATACACATACATGGTGTGCCATTTAATACTCCCGCTGCCGATATCTCCGAAATGAAGAAATTTATTTTAATTTCGGAAATTGGGGTTGTTAGGTCCCTCAAATAGCTTTAAATTGGAGTTAGAATTGTTAGTTCAAATCGTTCTGTATAGTTGACGTGGCGATACTAAAAATTGTTTTATTCCTTGGAACGTGGAAATGCAGTCCATCTGAAAGATCGTTAAATTTTGAGTAATTTTTGTAATATAAAGTTTTTCCCTACTTTTACTTGTTTTCGAGATATCGACTTCAATATGCAATGAATGATATACCAGGACAATCTATTATTTTATTTAAATCACACTGAGACAAAATATTCTTTTAAAATATTGCTATAATAGCTTTATTCACATCATATACTAACTAACAAACAATAAATTATAAAAAAAACGGATGATCAACTACAGACAAAAAAATTGTACAATGGTAAATCTTATATGGGTCAGAGACAAACCGCAATTTATCAAATGTTATTAAAAAATGCAGTCATAGGTGGCTCATGTCATTTGTTTAAAATATAACAATGACAGATGACACATATTAGTTTTACAATAATTACAGTTTTATCAGTTTGCGTCTTTCAATTAAAGTATACTAGTTATATGATTTATCATTGTACAATTTTTTTTCTGTAGTTGATCATTTGTTTTTTTATAATTAATGTTTGTTAGTTAGTATGTGGTGTGAATAAAGTCATTATAACAATATTTTAAAAGAATATTGTGTCTCAGTGTGATTTAAATAAAATAATAGATTTTCCTGGTATATCATTCATTGCATATTGAAGTAGACATATCTTGAAAATAAGTAAAAGCAGGGAAAAACTTTATATTACAAAAATTACTCAAAATTTAACGATCTTTCAGATGGACCGCATTTCCACGTTCCAGGGAACAAAAATTTTTTTAATATCACCATGCCATCTATACAGAAAGATTTGAACTAACAATTATAACTCCAATTTGAAGCTATTTGAGAGACCTAACAGCCCCAATTTCCGAAATTAAAATAAATTTCTTCATTTCGGAGATATTGACAGTGGGAGTGTTAAATGGCATATCCTGTATACCCCAAGTTGATTACTAGTACTTTACATAATTTCTTTACAGACAATATTTTTTACAATAACAAGCTATAATTATTCATAAAATACATATTAAATAAAAATAATTTAGTGTCAAGTTCAGCAAATAAGGTGGATGGTCAATTTTGTGATTTGCTTTTTATGAACTGCATCATGTAGCCTTCTGGAATTCTGGAATATTAGGGAGGGTAGCTTAAAAAGCTACAGCACTTAGGCCCCATTGGGCTCCTTGTACTTCCTCCCATTAGCAGATCAATCCACTTGAACCGTTAACCAGAAGAAGGTGATGACGTTGCTCAGGGACATCTCTCTAATATAGGCCATAGAAAACGAGCCCAACACGGATTCTCTTGTTAATGAGACAGCGGTGCATTCGTATAGCACATGAAGTACTGTCTCGTCTTCCTGTTCATAACCCCTACAAAGAGGTGTTCCACACTTCCTCATGTTGTAAAGGTGCTTCCTTAGCCAGCAGTGTCCAGTTTGAATACCAGTCATTAGACGAAGATTTGACCTAGACATGGCCAGGTATTTTTTGGTTGTATCCTTGCTAGGCTATTTTAAGCAAATTGACAGGTATTTGTTTCACTACACCGTTTCATAAATTCTTTGTGGGTGTGTGTGTTTCCATGCTCATTTCAGCGAGTGCTGATAACGGAAACACACTGGAGTGACCGGATCCAAAAGGATTGAGGCCCGATGCACTTCTGGCTAGCGTGTCAGCTTCTTCATTGCCATTGCACCGCTCGTGTCCCTTGACCCAGCAAACAGATGTTCTGTTGGAAAATGAGGCCATGACCAGTACCTGGTGGAATTCCCATACTGACCTAGTTATTATCTCATGATTACGTAAGATTAGCATCGCTTGTCTACCATCTGTGCAGATGCACACTGTGATGGTTTTACTCACAGTGTGCCTACAGGCGATTTCTTTAGCGGCTATGGTTATACATGCTAATTCCCTTTGTACCAGTGTAGCATGCCTATCCATTGCCCACTAAACCCACTATATGCAAGAATCTAGAATAAATTCTATATCCTGCACCTTCCTTCCTTTTTGATCAGTCTGCGAAGACGTTGATTACATCTTCGCGGTGATCTCCTCCTGTTTCCTAATGTGTACAGTGTGGGGTCTGTCGATCGCAAACCGGGGAGAAATACTGTCAGTATCTGCCTGCAGAAGGGGCATCTTCCTGACGACTCCATTCCATAGGCGACTCCTGACTTCACATCCTACATCCGGTTTGAAACCAACGTTCTTGAGGCGAAGCATGGTCGTCATGGCCACTTCTTTCAGATAGATATCCAAACGTGGCAGACACAGCATTACCTCCATTACCATGGTGGTTGTTGTTCGCATAGCTCCAATTATGCTCAGACAAGCAATTGTATTTGGCTGAGCTTTTGTTTAGCTGTGGTCTGCTGGACTTTCGGCCACCAGACAGTCCCGTAGACTAACATTGGTCTCACAATGGCAGCGTTTATCCACATGATCACTTTTGGTTTCATTCCCCAAATTCTACCAATGGCACTGCTCATAGGATATGTATGCCTTTTCAAAATGAAGATTCAATGTTAGCTTTACATAGAGTGTGACCCCTAGGTATTTCAAATCAGATGTAAGACTTAGCTTGGTGTTTAAGAGAGTTGAGTTTTCTCTTCCTCTTGAAGAGAAGCATTTACGTCTTCCTGGGGTTGACTGACAGAGCATTGTCTCCACACCACATTTCAATAGTTCTTAGGGCTGTTTGCATTCTTTGGCAAAGAATCCATTCAAATTTTCCACTAATCGGCATAGTGAGGTCATCTTCATAAGCGATGCTGTAGATGCCAATTTCCAAGTTGAGGTGTCATGTGTCTAGAACTAGGTTCCATAGCAGTGGTGATAAAACACCGCCCTGCGGGCAGCCGCTTGCAACAATTTCTCTCGGCATCCCTCACACTGATTTGTATAGCTCTTTTAGTGAGCATATTTGATATCCATATACAGATGGAAGGAGAAACTTCTCTCTCCAGAAGAGCTGAGTTAATTTTTGAGAAGGTCGTTTTTTCAAATGCCCCTTCTATGCCAATGAATACCCCCAGAGTGGACTCTGTCCAAGGATTTCTTTGATCCTGCTCACCACTTGGTGAAGGGCAGTGTCGGTAGATCGCCCTGGAGAGTATGCATGTTGGTTATGGTGTAGCACTCTATCCCTTATATAACTCTTACACAGCTTTTCCATTATTTCCAACAGAAACGAGGTCAGGGTGATGGGTCGATACACCTTTGGGGAGGTGTAATCCAATCTGCCTGTTTTGGGGAATGAACACAACCCCCACTTCCCTCCAAATCTTTGGAATATAAAGGTGTGCAAAGCACAGTCTAAATATCCGTTCCAGGTGTGGCATTAAAACATCCATGCCCCATTGTAAGATGACTGGCTTCTTACATTACATAGCCTTGTCAGCATATCTAACAATGTCACAATTCACAGTTTGTTCTTGTTTAATAAATTGACGTGAACAATGCCCTTGTGATCAAAAAATGAAACAAGCATAGTTTTAATCTGTAATCGTGACATTTGCTCTTTATGTTCTTGGTGAACCTTTCGTTTTCCAATGCATGCTCTGATATTTTGTTTCAAGGTTACACTGGAAGCACCAAGTTTCATCTCCAGTAATTACTCTGTCAAAAACCTCCAAACTGAAGAAAGATCATATGAAATGCCAAGATGTCTCTACTTCGCAAAAATTTTTCTTATTTTTAAGTTTTCGGTTAAGATCTTTCTTACCATTTCCTTGTTTAAATTAAGCTCTTTAATCAGATCAGATCTCACTAGTTGTCATACCTTTCTAACATTTTCACAATTTCCATGAGTTTTTAGACATCCATTCAAACGTTGCAGACTTCTTCACAGGAACATCACAATATACTTAACATTTCTGAAGTTTCACTTGCAGACACATCAATATTATCATTCCCAGAAATGGGAATCCAACCCAAATCATGATAGACAATATGAACATTTGTGTGTGTGCTTTGTTTAATTTTGACGGTTATGTACAGGTCAAACCATAATTATTCCGTTTTATTCTTGATTCTCTTTATTTTTTTCTGTAAGCATTTTTTAAATAAACATTTAGAAAATATTTAGTTTAAAATCAATTCAATCAATCAAATCCGAAGCATCTGTTAATGTTTCAAAATATTGATTCCATGGCCTCTTTCCTTTCCTTTTTGATTATTTTACATCGGCCTATTTCTGATACTATGATTAAACCCCCAACCTGGAAATATTACCAAACTCCCACTTGCCTAACATTGTTTAGACGAGGGACCAACGGTTTTAAATTTTTATCTTTCTATAGAAACCTCGGCTAAATTTACATAACTTTTGTAACCATTAGAAGGTGGATGAATATCGCGAGCCTTCCCTAGATGGTCACCCATTCAAGTGTTAACCACGATCAGCATTGCTTGACTTTTCATATCAATGATGTGTTTTTAAAACATTTTTAAAATATTTATTTGCTTGGGCATCATATATATGCAATTTATATCGGTATGGTATAAGGAGATTATGATACAACAGGCGGCTGCCATTTTTAGTTTGAGTGAGTAAGACTTATCTCAGTCTTTTTGGCGATTTTTCTGTCGTGAAATGTCGAATCAGAGTTTGTCCGATATTTTGTGTTAAAAATGGAATTACGTGCAGACACACTATGTTGAAGACTATACTATGTCACAGTCAGGACTTTATCAATGGTACAAATGTTTTCAGGAATACTAAGAAGATATCAAAAATGAGGAGTGATCTGGTCAAATGTGAAGGCTTTCTAACCGTTTCCTTCAACTACAATGGAATAGTTCATCACGAATTCTTACTACCGGGGTATACAGTTAACAAAGAGTACTTACTACTCAGTTTTGCACAATTTGCTTGAGGAAATCAGGAGAACACGACAAACCGAGAGACAACTGATGGATATTGCACCACAATGCACCGGTGCATGCCGCTTTGCTTATCCAAAACACAACACTGTTGTAATGCCCCAACCATCCTATCCCTGTGACTTTTCCTATTTCCGAAACTTAAAAGGATACTTAAAATACAACCTTTTCCAACACCCTGATCAGATGCATAACACTTTCTGAGAAAACAATTTCCATTACTTTTTGATCAAACTTCATATTTGGAAGCCCACACACTCTTGCTCTGTGTCACTTCTAAGTTCATTTACAAATCGCCTGTTTATTTTCATGTTATGAACAAGAATAACTGTATCTCACAAGATGTTTGCTTTATGTCGATGAAGTATAATAAAAGAATGTTAAGGATGCAATACTTACAAATCACCACTAGAAAATATCCCTTATGCAAGATATAAGATTTTAGTATTACATAAATTATATTTTCCATGCATGTAAATTACAAGTACTTACCTTGCAGGTACCATTATCTATTTTCATTCTCCATGAGGGCCTTCTTTCGACTGCCGAGGGAGATTCTTCACATTCACGAGTTATTATTGTTGGCGAAGCAGTTTTTATTGTAACATTCACTCCATTTAAAGAATCCGATGCTGTGGCCTGTTGAAATAAAAGTATAATTAAAGATCTCATAATATATTTTGCACAGCTTTAACGGTATGTACCAGACTGTTTGAATAATTGCCATTAGATTAACTGACATTTACAATGGTACTTATCAAAGTCTAGGGTTAAATAGTTAATATATATATATAAGCCAGTGATGTATTTGGGATTGCAGTCAATAGTGCTAAGGGCTAATGTAATAAGAACATTCTGTGTTGTTGTCAAGCTTTCGGAAATGTTTATTTCCTTTCTCAAGACATCTATAAGAAATGACAAAAATGCTTAGAATAATAAGTTATAAAAGCTTATTATATACTTACAAACGTGAGATTATCCTATAAAAACCATCAAAAACGAAGTATACAAGAACATTGTTAAAATTTTAATTAAAAATAATTGTAACTATAGTCAAACATTCTTTTACTATACTATATACTATAGTATAGTATATATACTATATATACTATATACTATATATAGTATAGTATATACTATATATACTATATTGTAACTATATACTATAGTTACAATTATTTTTAATTAAAATTTTAACAATGTTCTTGTATACTTCGTTTTTGATGGTTTTTATAGGATAATCTCACGTTTGTAAGTATATAATAAGCTTTTATAACTTATTATTCTAAGCATTTTCGTCATTTCTTATAGATGTCTTGAGAAAGGAAATAAACATTTCCGAAAGCTTGACAACAACACAGAGTGTTCTTATTACATTAGCCCTTAGCACTATTGACTGCAATCCCAAATACATCACTGGTTTTTTTCTT